TTTTTTTTCTTTCCCCACCGTGGTGAACTCCTCCAAATCAGCTCCAAACCCGATGACCGAGCGGCTTCCCCCGGCACCTGCGAGGCACCCGCCGCCGTCGCCGCCTTCTGCACCACCCGCGCGGCCGTCTCCACGGCTTCCTCCGCGGTTGGCCGTCGGGGTGTTGGTCCCAAACCGCCGCGGCCCGCGGATGGATGGAGAACACACCAACTGCGGCGGTCGTCTTTGGGGCGAAGACCGGTGTCTTTCGGATACTGAGCCCTTTGAGGAAGAAACACATCGCCAGCATACACCGCGACGAACGTTCCCGGTGTACCCCTCGTCCTCCAGGGGCACTTCACCTTGGCTTTCGTCCCATCTGAAGAAATGGTTCTTTTCGAACTGCCGAGAAATCCTCCAACTCGAAGATGTTCACCGTGGCAACACTGGCTGCATTTCTGCACCGTGGCAACACCTCTGTCTTTATAGGTATTCTTTGAGCCCACCTCAGAAAGCTAGCACAGTCTCTCAGGTCACTGGGCGCCTTGCCCGGCGCCGACCTGGAGAAGAGTGCCGGAGTCAGTCGGACGAGAAAGGCTGATAGTTCATGCTGTGCTGAGATGGAGAAGGAGCTGGTTTCATGCTGTGCATCTGCATCTGTCCATGAAAGCTTGAACATGCTGTTCCTGGACCGAAAAAAACAGGAATGCCACCAGAAGAAGGTGGGAACTCGAGTCCAGGTATTGTTCTGAGTCTCTTTGCTACTCACTGCTGACCTCCCTAGACCCACCCAAGGAGCCGAGTGAGTGTATGTTACGGAAGGTGATCAAGAGGTATATAAGTTTAGGGACCAGCATGGTCCCACCAATCAAGACCCCATGAACCACTGAAAAAGCTGCATCTGAACAAGTGCCAGCCCTGCAAGACATGGCCCCGAATATCTGGTTTGCCAACCCCACGCCAAGCACAAGGCACACCAAAGGACCTGTTGGGTAAAATCACACCTTTGCAAATCAAATCAAGTACCCGAGATAAATGATGAGCGGATTTGTCCTGCAAAAAGTACCATCTTGAACCCCCATCTTCAATGCTAAATCGTGCCATTGGTGAATGTAGTACAGTTCACATCTCCGAAGAAGCGAAACATCTTCTTTCTTTCCGTCCAAACCCTCCCACCAGCTCTCCCCCTACCATCCCCAGCGCACACGGGAGCCATCTGCGGCGGGAGTTTCATCGAGATCCTCAGTCTCAACCGGTGTTTCGCCCTGCTCCGCCTCCGCTCCTCCATGTACCCACCACAGTGGTAGAACAAAAACAACCCACCCTAAGAATCCGACCTTCGCAGGGGTCCGGGCCCTCAAAACCCTATCTGTTTGAGGGCATTGTAAAATGGATTCCTTTGCCAGAACGCCACCCTCCTGGGCAAGGTGCCTCGGGCCCTATAAGTAAGAGGTGCGGGATTTCAAATCAAGGTTTCAAATGACGAACAAGGGTGGTTTGAGCGCTTAGATTATTTCATGCAACTTTTGGATCTTAAGTTTCCCTTTTTATTACATCTCTTTTGGGACATATATATAGCTCCTCCGTTGAAGGGGAGAAACGATGCACTCCCAGTTCCATAGCTTTCGCTTTCCTCCCAGCAGCAGTGGTGGCAGTTGGACAAGGGAAAAACAAGTAAAAAAAACATCAGGCGAAGAACAAAAAACATAAGGGGATACCTTTAGGACCCTACTGGGGTACCTTCAAGGTGTACTACTGGGGTACCTACCGGTAAGGACCCTACTGGGGTATCAAAGGTACCTGGACCTGAAAAAGGGGTGTCCTGTCTGGAGGTTCCTGATCGTGGTGGCCTGGGGGCGAAACCAGCCAGGTGACCCCGACATGAAGGTGCTGGTAGAAGTGACCATTTTAGGACCTTACTGGGGTTCTTTGGGATAGTCTATAGGGTTCTTCAACCTCTGTTGGGAGTAGAACATGACTCGATTACAAGTGTTGGCTATGGGACGTGCCCCAATAGCTATAGCGATTAGACATGAAACATAGCCGTATACAACCCAACCGCGACCCTGTACCCTCGTGTGGAGGGGTCAGGAGTCTCAAATTGAGGGGACCAAAGGCTGTTTGGAGCGTCTGGGAAACAAGAAGAAGGACACTCCCTTTGTCACACGCCCAGTGTCGGCTCACCCATCACGCTGGGAGCGTAGGTGGCTGCTGGGCTGGTTGTCGAGGTGGCCTGTGAAGGGTGCAGGATCTTCGGATGTCCAATCCAATCCAACCATGGTAAAGTTATATTATAGCAAATTATGATACAATATGTTATATAATGAATTATATTGTAATTACATTATATTGAGCCAACCTTATATGCAGTAAATGAAGATAAATGAACACGACCAGGACCCAACAGGTCTCCGAAATGGTGGCTTTTGCAGGCGTTCTCAAGTCGGTGGTGACCTACTGTTGGAGGGTGCTGGTATATAAACACTGCATCTACCAGGACCTTCCAAGTCCGGTGGTTTTTGGCCACCTCGACTCACCTCTAAGAGGCTATTTATAGCCACCTCTTGGAAGGTGGTATATGATTGCTTTCATACTTGTTTAGATATTATAAAGGCAGCTGTCTCGATGGCTCCATCCATCTCCATCAATTCAAAGGGTGTGGATTGGTGCCTCATTGGCCGGTTGACCGGGTCCTTAGCTCCTGCAACTGCTTTCTTCCGCTGTTGCCGCTCAAACTGCACTGGTTCATCCCGATCGCATGCGGGTTCCGCGGATTCGCCAGTCGAAGCAGCCGTCCGCCTCCCGCCAGCTATGAATGGTGGCCTCTTGAGAAGCCGAAGCCTGCGCGCTCTGCGCGCAGAGAGATCTTCCGCCCATGAAAGCGTCTCTCTCGGTGCGACCGAACCGTTCTCCTCAAGGGAGGTGGGGGTACCGTGAACACGCCCCAAGCACGTGTGGGTCAGATGGTGCTTGGCTCAACTTGAGCAAGTCAGTAAGTCTGTTTCTTTTGTTTTTTCTGAAATAACAACAACACACACACAGGGGAGACCTATAGAGAGACTTCGAACGACTTCGTTCAATGTGTCTTGAACCTCTCACGCGCGGGCGCAGCCTCGTGCACGACCTCCGCCGTCGGTCCTGCAGTCAGCTGGGGATGAAGCTTCAGAAATCCGGAAACTCGAGATCCAGAGGCCGAGGGATTTGACTCACATGCACACAAACCCAAACACGACCTGTTTGGGACTGCAATGATTGCCGAGAAACGGCCAGGGGTGGTTTGGGGGGCTTGATGTAGGCATATATGGCAGTCCCATGCAGTGCTTGGGAAATGAATTGGTTACTCCAGGGAGTATGATGGCGTATGTCTTTCTTCTATCTTGATCTATCTTCTATTTTGATCTATGTTGCTATTTGTACGTGATGGACCTGTCGTCTTGTACTTTAGCACTCCTTATTAGGCATCGTCCCATGGTGTGTTTGATCTTCTACAGCCATTTTCGACCGTTTTCCAGCTGTCTATATATATCATCTTCCAGTGCCAAAAACCATCCGCTGGGGCTTGCAGGGGTCGTTCTGGCCACTGACATCACACAGGACCAGCAAAGCAGGGGGG